GTTGTGTTTGAGTGAATCCTTAATTATCGATACATTTAAAATTATATAACGATCACAAACGAATCCATATCTTTCCAAGTTGATATACCTCATAACAGCACAGACAGGGAGATGGAGATAAGTTTGGTAAGGCGAAAAGAGAAGCTAACTTTAACTATGATATAGTTCTAACTAAGTGAAATACAGTTAAGAGGGAAGAAATGTGAAAAAAGAATGAGTATTTAAAAGAAGGTTAATGAGGAACAAACTACGATAAAACGACCGATTTTGAGCCATGTCACTCGATGTTTACAGACATTAAATATAGATAGAGTGCTGGGTTGATTCAGGAACTCAATCCACTAGTCAATTATGTTTTTGGATTGGTGTTATGTACTGATTCGTTCGCCGCTGTATTTCTTCCAAATAACTCTTATGACATTTATCGTTTCACGTTGAGGTTGGTGATGGCTATAAGTGTTTAGCATATGCCATTAACACTTCAGAATATCACACCCCTATAAACAGATTTGCTATTTTTCAGTCCGTCAGTTACAACGTAGAACTTCGTACATGAGTACATCAGTTCAGGTTGCCATACCGCATGAGCACAGAGACGCAACTGTCAGTTCAAATCCAATAGTGGTTTAGATAGTAGAAGTATTAACAGCAATGAAGAAGATTAGGGTTCGAAGACATGATTCGAGAAGTATATTCAGTGAGATAAATTTAGAACGAGGGATAGAGATGATGAGAGAACAGGAGGTTAGGATTTGAGAGAAAACAAAAAATGAATGCACCCACGCCAATGATCGAAAACCAGTAACCTACGAATAACTTCTAATCTGACAAGCCATGTTTCACATCCATATAGTAGGACGGAGCGAACTGCTGAGTAGACCTGACGTAGTGTGAATAATCGGTCTAAACATCTACGTCCAGGTCTAAAAGCAGCCTGGTTTTCTTGTGGTAGCCGATGTATCACTAGTTTCGTGACGGTTGATATTCAACGTGTTCTCAGTCTTTGTAATTTGCTCGTCCAGGCAATCATCACCAAATAACGCCTGGCAGTTATAGATCAGAAGGCAAACACGAAGGATTGAATACGTTCATTTTTGACACACTATAAAATGGACAGCGGACCACAAGCAGACAGGTCAGGCACACTAGCGACCGAATCGGTGAATGAATTATTAAGCTGAGAATGTTCATATATATACTTAAGGAAATGTCTGAGTCATCGAGATATTTAAGACTAATATCAAAGCCAATGAATGAGTATGAGCGTAGGCCTAAGCAATGCTCAGTCGTACCAGCTCATACAAACCAGACAAAATAAAAACCAATGTTACATATAAGTTTTGGCTATGCCAATGGCTTGGTAAAATAAATTAATCGAATGGCCTAACCAAATTAAATATGAGCGAACTCAAATGTATGTGGAGGTACTACATTCTCTAGTCTGCTCTTCACGAACTTTCGTTAAGCGTCCAAGTATTCCTAAGGCCAAATTTTCTATACTATATTGGTTAGACATATTCCTCTGTGATTATCACAACAGGGATATTTTTCTTTCTTATAAATCGGAACAATCAGCAACTGTGACCATTCAGATGGGATTAAACCCAGTTCCCAGATTCTACCTAAGATCTAAGTCAATCTAACTGTTAAAACTGGACCACCATCCTTAAAAGTCTCAGGGTTGAGCCCGCTGCTCTCCCTCGCTTCAGATTTCTTGTAGCTTTCTCAACTTCGAAAAGAGTCGGAGGACTTATATCGATTTGCCATTCAGGATAACTGGAGATCGTGAGCAACCGAAGTGGGGCTGACGGCTAATTGAACTGATCCCTGAAGTGCTCTGCCCGTTGATTCAATCTCCTGGATTGAGAATGGTTAATAAGCTCATCCTTTTCTGAGATAGTCTTGTAGGGTGCATATTTATCACTATTTTCGTGACGGTTGGTACCTAACGTGTTCTTAAACTTCGTAATTAGCTCGTCCAAACAAGCTTCATTGAGAACGAATGATCGAGTATGTGATGAAACAAATCTTCCTTTCCACTTCCGTATATCATATTTAGGCTAACCCCGTTTGTGCGACGGTAGTAATAAAAAGGCCAAATACGGTTTTGCGGGTGAATTTATTTCATGCAGTCATTTATGCAGACAAATATGAGAAGGAAAGGGTACAAGCAAAACGAAACGCATTGGAGTTGGCTCACTAGTCTCACCTACAGTCGGATTCCTTATACCGGTTTCCTTGATGAGTCTGAATAGCAGTCTACTGTTGCCCATCACTCTTGCTGTCACCACCCACCACTGTTCGCGATCATTGCGTAGGATTTTTGTCGGCCTGCGCCTAAGTATACTTCGCTCTTCGTCATGTTCAGAACCGGGCGGGATGAGTTCTCGAGCATTCATCAGTTCGGTGGATGCTACTGAGATCCACGGCTTCTTCTTAGCCTTATGGTTTACCTTACTAGAAGATATCACTGCTGTTTCCACAGCCTTTTTGATATCATTTTAAGCTACCTTCGGATGGAAATCGCTTAAATGGTCGCCTAACTGTCCTTTTAGTTGTCCCTGAAATATATTCCTAGCTTTATTATCATTAAGTAGAACCTTGACAGGTTTGCCTGCGGTGTCTTTCCTACGTCCAGTAAGTCACAAACTAATACGCGCTCGCACTAGAGCATGATCTGAATCTAAATATATGCCCCAGAACGAGCAACAGTCCTCTATCGAACCCCTCCATCGTTGACTGATGGCAATGTGATCTAGTTGGGTCCAACGTTGAGGCGACTTCGGGGGTCGTCAGGCCAGATTAGCCGCGACACTGTAAGATTCACCAAGGTGTCTTCTATTTTAAATTAGTCTACTTACTTGAGTATTAAAGTCACCAGCCATTATTACTACATCACAGTGCCTAACTTTTGGAGAAGGTCCGAAAACTTTCTGTAAAGCTCATCTTTCACCTCGTCTGAACTGTAATCAGTGAGTGAGTAAACAGATACGACGAAGAGGCAACGGCGAGTGTCCCTACCTTTCCTAATCCTTACTGTTCCGTTTAGTCGGACAGAGCACAAGTGACTATCTACGGGGATCCAGTCTAGGAGAGATAGTTCAGCCCTACGACTCAATGCTATACCAGCAAGACGCGGGGAAGTAGCATCAAAGCTTCCAGATACGTGAAGAGTAAATCGAGTTGGTTCGTTATTTTGACAAGGTGAATTCAAATTAATGATTTTAATGGAATCCTGTATACGCGTTTCCGACACGCAGCAATAAAAGCTCCAACATTTAGTCTAGAACGAGGTTTCAGGAGACCAGGAATAACGTTTCGTGAACTCGCATCGTCTGCATTAGTGGTGCAGTGTGATAAAGGAATGTGAGAAGAGTCAGTCGTGGAAATAAGAGGGGTATTAGGGGTTGTAGAAAGGATTTGATTTTGGCTAATTCGATCTCACGTGCTGTTACAAGTATGAGGGCGGATGTCACTTCCCGGCTGCCCACACTGTGGAAGGGTGTTTCTTGAAGAACATTTAAAAGAAGTAAGATTAGCATCGGTCTTAGCGGCCTGGGAGCGTGACCGCAAAGACCAAGGCACAACTGCTTGAGGCAGGTCACGCACGGCCTTTTAATGGGTAGTATTTAAAGTGCTAGCTCCATTCTCGTTTAAAAGGCCTTACTGCCGAAGACGGAAATCCGTGAGGTAAGGTGAGGTGTGACATTTTTAGGGCCGACCTTTTCTATCCCCTTCCTTTCTTGTGAGAAGGCAGCGTCACTTCAGATGCTGGTTGTCCAAAGGAAACACCTTACTCCTGTCACACCCCTCTGCAGTCAGCAGTACAACTTCTCCCTCAGACTTTGAGTGCCGCTTTTAGTCTCATCGTTCTCCAGTCGACCTGTCTGGCATGGTAGGACCTACAGGAACATATGATCCAGCGAACAGAGCTCGAATGGGTCATCACTATAGGCAAACACGACCAACACGACGAGGTAGCAGCTCTATGGTCGGGAGTTTGCTACTTTACCACGTACCCTATCTACTTTCAACCGCAACAATACTCACTCAGTGGTCCCATCACATATCTGAACATCGCTTTGCAGATGTCTGTGATTAAATAATTGCGGTCGAAATATATATCCCACTTTCATTTTCTACCAGGGTTCAGTTTTTGAGCGGTTTCTAAATTTAAAGGAAATTTTTCAGCTTATTCATTTTGATAAATTTGGCATAATTCAGATGATTTTAATGAAAAAAGTTTGTGTTTTGTATGCTTATTCGTAAATAAACTCACGAATTTGCATTTTTGCTTTTGAATTGTATGTCAAAATGACTTCATCAAACTACTGGCTTGGAACTTAGATAACAGCCTTCACCCTTTTTTATCTTTCTCTTTTCTCATATGAGTCTGATTAGCAAGTTTGTGTGACCATTATTTGTAGTCCTTTTATCACCAGAATGTTCTCCAAGATCGAATACAAGTCTGTGATATTTTCGCAGTCTGTCTTGCATATACTTTGTTCTCTGAGTATAGGGTTCAGTTAGAACCTTCCCTTGATGCACATGCCTACGATGTTGCCTTAAAGAACAATAAAAACTTCGTAACTAAACTATCTTCCCACAATCTTATCTCATGCCACAAATTTCCTCTGACAAATATCCAGTCTCTTGACCTGATGAGGTTTTCAATTTGTTTGCTGATTATAACTTGCCTTCTAAAAACAGTAAACTGCATCAATATGCATCTGTAAGTTTAATCACCTTCGTGAAGTAAGTTACATCTGTTTGTTAGACTTTACTCGAATGTTTGGCAACTCCCTGTCACTGAAGACGTACGTTAACATCTAATTAACTTCATTTCTGAAGATATTTTTAAATCGATTCTGTAATGCTGATTTTCAAACCTTACAGGTTTTGAGGATTTAGAAGTTTTACTGAAAAATTTGTTCTTGTTAAGAAAAAACTAAGTTATAAAGAAATTAAAATAAATATTTACAATCAGTGGAATAGATACTCTAAATTTCAGAACCTTCTCGATTACTGTCACGATAGGCTCTAAATTTTCGATTATCATGAACTAAATTATCTCCACTACTTCCACTGAAACTATATTCTTCACTGAATTTATCTGTGGATCTTGCTTGTTCATCTAAATCAGAGCGTGAGTGATATTTTTGTCCTTGTGGGAATGTTGAGTTTTCTTCATCGGCTGGTTTAACTGGTACAGCTTCTTCCGGCCAATGACGTTTAATTAATTTCCATCGACGTCGTGTTTTGACTTTTGTGCTCATTGGGAATTCTAATACTAATGATTGAATATCTCGACGTAATTCTTTGTTGAATAAACCAAATGAAATAGCTGAAAGGAATGAAGAGAATCCAGCAAGAATTGCAAATCCATATGACCACGATGGCCAATTGAGTGTGGGATAAGGCATCCAAGTCTCCGTTTGATAATTTACCCCGAAGATAACCACGGATATAAATAATAAAATCGCTAAAAAATGAAAGCAACAAAATATTATTTAGTTTCAAGTCGCTAAAACAAATAAATTCAATAACAGAAACATAAGTTTTACAGTTCTTAAAGTGCTGTATCCGTGATTTAAAAAGTGCATAGTTTTTCTGAGATTCAGAGAAGTGCTGTTCAACAACAAGGTTAAATTAACACCACAAATACGTTAATAAAGCAGGGATTCATTCCATGTATAATTGAATAACAAGTATGAAAATAATTGGATGAACGGTATACATGATATAATGTCATAAATTCTAGGGAAGACTCAAGTAAATAAATAATAGTAATTATACGACTCCCTCTTTAAAATAAGTTTTGTAACTTATTATCGGCAGGACGAAATCAGTTATGATGATTTATCAACTAATGATAATAATGGAACAGATCATTTAATGTGGTATTCTTAGAAATTTGAGAAATTAATCCCTTTAAGAAATTTGAATTAACTTTTACCAGTTAATCAATATTCGATTGAATATATAATGTTGAAGATAAAATGACACATATAACGCGAAAAAGTTGTACCACATTTTATTATCGTTGTACAAATGAAACGAATCAATAACAATATTATTAGTTAGGGTTTTACCTGAGTAAAAGTTGTTACTATGACTACATTCACTTAATTATCATTGTGATGTACCCAAGCTACATAATAACACCTATTTTGAAACTATGTTACAAAGTCCAAAAATATGTTATGATATTTCTTCCATTCCACTATCGTTCCCTGAGACATAAAACATTCATGACAAAGTTCCATTTCTCCATTCTTGATCAATGCGACTGTCATGTTTATTGTATAGTCTTCCAAACCATCTAGTCAGGTTAAATTTAATTTTATAAGCAAACCACTTCTAATTTCCAACATTTTTAACTCATACTCATGCAAATGATAAAAAGCATATAGATACAATCAGCATGTTTTAGGCTGTTTTAAGAAAAATTAATAAATGCTCTCCGCATTGAATTAAACCGTCTTATTGGGTGTCTATCGTTATTCTGAAAGAGCTATTACCTGAGCTATAAGACGCGGTTTAGAAATATTATAATGCTGGCATGACTACACTCTCTAGTTCCCTCCACAAAATCTCTTGAAAGTCAATTTTTCAGTTACTATGAGCCTTAATAACTCGAAAATTTTGCTCTGCTACAGACAGTGATTCGCTGATAAAATGTTCATATCACCGTCTTTATACTAGCAAATCGCAGAATATATGTTTTGTTACTTTTCGTTTAAAGCTTGTGATGTCAACACATTAAGTTCAGTTAATTACACCTCATTATTACTCACAAAACCAGATACAATTTATGATGGTGATATCCTTCAACATTTAAAATCTTGATTTAAAATTCCTTTTTAAACAGTAGTAAAAACCTTTTTTCCTATTTAAATAAATATCTGCAAAAACAGAGTCTAAAACAAGGGCTTTAAACCTTCAATGTCCTATCCTTCTGTCAGAAATCAGAAAACATTCATATATACTCTTTATCGAACTCCTCTTCATCAATGAATGTGAAGGTTTTAAGAGTGAAAAAACCATTTTGAAAATATGAAGTAAACAAATAAATTTTTTTCATATAACATTGAAGATTTGAAGAAACTTACTTGAGCAAGAATGACAGAATGTAATGAGCGAAATAAAGAACGACTGACGTTCCACGTGTCTGATTCTTTTACACATGTACGCGATTAAAGTGACAACTGCTACTATTTGCAGACATAAAGATACAGTTACCATAACTTGTATGATTAGAAACCAAACTAAAATTAATCCATTTCACGGTGAACACTTAAGGAAAGTAAACGTACATGGAACCAGATCCGTAAATATCTTTTGCATGTATGGAGAAAGGATCCACCAGCAACCATAGTAAGAAATCATATTGGGATCAAGACGCTGCACATAACCATTGACGCAAAATTCCCATAGCCCCAAGCGGAGAAAAGGCGTATGGAGTCTAGGCCATGACTGTAACCAATATGGAGTAACAAAAGAGACAAGCAGGAAAACAAAAGATGCGTAGGTTGATATACATGCAACACGATATCTGCATTCAGTGAAAGGCGAATGCTTAATTCTCTGCTTGATCCTCATGCGGAAGCTGAACTTTTGAATGAACACTTGAAAATGTAAATAACATTGAGGGAGTAAAACAAAATTATTCCATAATTCATAATTTTGTAAATAATATCGCTCCAGACCCTAAAAAAGTTTTCGAGAGATTATAAAATTCGGTAAACAAACAAAGTGGTAATCAAGGCCACAACAGTGGTAGAGGCTGACAGTAGATGATCACTGGCGAACAGTAAGAGGCATCACCCAGAGTGCTGTCCCAGACAGTGTACCTCAGTCACACCACACACCCGGAAATAGAAGAACATGGGTTGGGAGCGAGACTAAACGCTCGCTACAGGCTAAAAGGAGAGCCTGACACGAGTGGAAGGTCTCCTTGAATGATTCTAATCGTAGTCCTTACTTGGCATTGAGAAACAGATGCAACGCCAAAGTTCGAAGTAATAGGGGACGCTTTCAGATGAGGCTAGCTGCTAACATACAGGCAAACCCCAAGCATCTGTTGAGATTCATGACTAGAAAATAATCTACGAATCAGGGGTTGTGTTAACTCAAAGGTCCGAATTAGGAGGACCACACCAACCCTAAGATGGCTGAGGTCTTCAACACAAACCTCACCGATCAGTTAAACCAGGCATCCATATGTTCAGAATACTACGCAAACCCAGTTCTAGCTGATGGCTTAGGGAATATACATATCACTCCTTACTTAGTACCAAAGAAATTAAAATCCTTATGCCCTGGAAAGTCACCAAGTTGTGACATTATTCGCCCCATAGTCTTAAAAAAATGTGCAGAAGCCCTCTGTTCACCGATATGTGACACGTTCAGGCATTTGATGGATCCACACAAAGTTCCAGCTGAATGGAAACAAGCTACTCTCTCTCCAATCTTCAGAGGAGGAGATAGAAATAACCCAGGCTGTCACAGACCAGTCACATTACTATCGATACTATCGAAGGTAGTGGAAAGGCTAGTGAACGAGCAGACGGGGGAGTACAGGGATGAGAGCGAAACCCCCCATGATCCTCAACAAGGGTTTCGGAAAGGCAGATCGAGCTAAATCAGTCTTCCAATTGCATGGGAGAGTTGAGCATCCTGCTTAGACCGAAAAACACCGGTGCGTATAATATTTCTTGACTTCACGAAAGCCTTTGACATAGCACCCGGCGCATGCCTGATAGCGAAGGTTGCGGAAATGGGCTTCACTGACCCACTCGTATCTTGCCTCAGAAACTACCTTGAGAGTATAAAGTTTCGTACGAAGGTAAATAGAGTGCATGCTAGTTGGCGAGTATCCAGATCAGGATTTTCACAGGGGACCGTCTCGGGCCCACTTCTAACAGTAATATTAGTAATAATTTATTCTCAAATGACAATATAATACAAGAGACATGCTCACTTACAGACAAGATCAAATCTATAAGATTGCTAACATATTTTTGGTAAAAGGTTGTTCAGTTACTGAAATGTTTCACGAGATACATTGGCTTCATAAAGATGGCTAAAATTTTCCACATAAGATTTTTCAGACTGTCCAATATACAATAAGAATAATTGGCGCGATTTGCAACGGCTGAATTACCACGAACTGCTAATTAATACGAAACAATGCAAGGTAGAGCCCGGTCTGCATTTAACAAGAATTGATGAGGTAAATGCTCTAAGATCTAGATTGATATCCTTCAGATTATAAATTTACAGGCTCCTGGGTCTTTGGCAAATATCCAGACAAATATAATAGGATTTGAATAACGTGCTGACAAAGAGAAATAAAGATAAAGCGGCGACAAGCAGAACAGAAAATATTCTTGTTAAAAGCCGAACAATGATTCAGCAGGTTTTTCAAAATTAAAACATTATGTAAGTTAGTGAGGACGATTCACTAGTAAGATAACGAATGGGTAACTAATCAGAGGAACCAAATTGTTAACAATAATGTTGATGTATAGAGTGTAATAATGAGATATAGTGATCTGATGCTTTTGTAGGATTTAATTTGTCCTACATATGTAATTCCAAAACGTAAACGCGAATACCGCCGCTGACAGATTCAAGAGAAAATCAGACTAATAAAAACTTGGGTTTAAACTGTATCTGCTTTTTAAGCGAAAAAAACGGTTAAATTAGTACAATAAATCAGAAAATTACAATTATCAAGTAAGATGACCAAACGTACCGGACAGTATAGCGTGTCTTTTGAAAATGATTAAAAAGCATGAGTCACATCTATATAAAAAAAAATAATAACATCCTTTAATCGATAGGTCATTGTTGGGATAGTCAATCGAGAATAAGGCCACGCATATTGTGGATTCAATGAACTATTTGATTTTTGTTCATAATAAACCATTTCATTAATGATTAATGTTCATGATAAACTATTTCATTAATGATGAATTATATGATTAATGTTCATGATAAACTATTTCATTAATGATGAATTATATGATTAATGTTCATGATAAACTATTTCATTTATGATGAACTATATGATTATCGTTCCTGACGAACTATTTGAAGCATGTTCAAATAATTAACGACTTTTATATAATTGTATAAATACGCATGTTTGATTGTATATTTTTGATTCTGACAAGAAGTGTTCTACAACGTCTTCCGTCTTCTTTCTTTGAACGGAGGGGTCTAACGTTCGGGTGTCATTAGTACGGTGGTTGACGTTACATCAAGTACAAAACATAAAAGTGGCGACGGGGTAAAAACCATATCCACAAAACATAAAAGTGGCGACGGGGCTCACAATTCACAATGTCAATTAATCTTGAACAGTTAGAATCTTTACTGGAACGTCAAGGTAAACGATATGAACAGTTCCAGGAACGTATGTTGGAGCTGTTAATGAAACAAATGAATTTGAATCACAGAGGTTTTGCCGATGATTCATATAATCCGCATACAGACTCGATAGTTAATTCCATTCATGAATTTCATTTTGATGGCCTTGCTGGTGTGACTTTCGAGTCTTGGTTTAAGAAGTATGAGGATTTGTTCAAGGTCGACCTCAACAATCTTGATGACGCCACCAAAGTCAGAATCCTTTTGAGAAAGCTCGGCACAATCGAACACGAACGTTATAGTAATTTCATCCTCCCAAAGAACCCACGAGATTTCTCTTTTGATGCTACAATTGATACGCTGTCGCAAATCTTCTCTGAACAGTCATCTCTCTTTAATATTCGTTATCAATGCCTCAAAATAATCAAGTCAAATGAAGATGACTGGGTAAAGCATGCTGGCTTAGTAAATCGTGAATGCGAACGATTTAAATTATCATCAATGACGGAAGATCAGTTTAAGTGCCTTGTGTTTGTGTGCAGCTTACAATCTCCCGACGATGCTGATATAAGAACCAGAATCCTAAGTAAAATTGAACAGTGCCCAAACATCTCGCTTCAAGAAATAACTGCAGAGTGCCAGAGATTAGTAAACTTGAAGCATGATACCTCCATGGTCGAAAACAATGGCCTCTCATCATACGTGCATTCCATTAGTGAAAAGAAAAATTCCGTCTCACAAAAGCATCACAAGAGCACAGACAACCAGCCCTCATCTCCATGCTGGTCATGTGGAGGTTGGCACTACAAGAAGTTTTGCCCATACAAAGATTATGTTTGCTCTAAATGTCACAAAAAGGGTCACAAAGAATCTCGATGTAGGACAAAAGCTCGCAGACATTACTCCGCGAAAGTCGATTCCAAGAAATACAGTTCTGGTAAGTCAATAAACAAAGTATTGGTGTCTCATAATCAGACAAGAATTCACCAAAGAAGAAAGTATGTGACTTTGGATATGAATTCACACCGTATCCGTCTTCAACTGGACACAGCATCTGACATCACCCTTATCAGTCCAAAAACTTGGGAGAAAATTGGAAGACCTACAGTTCACCCTACGAAGCAACTAGCACACAGCGCATCTGGTGGCAAGTTAAATATTGTTGGAGAAATACTGTGCACTGTTTCAAAAGATGGGACAACAACAAGTGCAACTGTATACCTAACTAAAAACCCAGACCTTGATGTATTGGGGTTGGATCTCATAGATGCATTAAAATTAACAGACCATTCTATCAACAACATCTGCAGCCGAGTAAGAATCAATAACCCTTTAGAGTCAAATCCGGGAAATGCCATTATAGAAAGGCATCATCACGTATGTCCAGAAGCGTTGGGCGAATGCACAAACGCCGCGAAAAACCCTTCGAAATGCGAGCCTCAACAATGGCAGAAACCTACGGGACCTTGGAAAAGAATTCATGCAGATTTCGCTGGCCCAATCCAAGGTAAAATGTTCCTAATTATTGTAGATGCGTATACAAAATGGCCAGAAATATACAGCATGCCGAATTGTACAGCCTCAGAAACTATTCAGAAGCTGTCCACCTTATTTAGTTGTTTCGGAGTGCCAGAAACCTTGGTAACTGATAATGGATCACAATTTGTTGCCGACTCATTCACGCGATTCTGCAGTTCAAACGGCATAACGCATCTACGGTCCCCACCTTACCACCCCCAATCGAATGGACAAGCTGAACGCTTCGTGGACACTTTCAAAAGAGCTTTACTGAAAGGGGGAGATGAGGGACCAACTAGCCAAGTAATCACGAGGTTTTTAACGGCTTACAGAAGCACTCCGAACCCTATGGTCCCAGAGGGGAAGTCTCCAGCCGAAGCGATGTTTGGAAGACGTATTCGGACTATTTTTAACGCGATGTTGCCCCCTAAAAGAGCGAATAGATATAGGCC